TCTTTTCTTCTTAGTATTGTTGTTGTGGTCAGAAACTGCTATCAGTAAGAGAATAAAATTGATACCGCGAGGAGGACAGAGCCTAAGAGAGACACAGAAAAATGAGCCAAAACTATTAGATTACACCCTGAACCCCAATTCACCACTGAGCTTGTTATATGAGTCAGCAAATTACTTCAAGCTAGTTTGATTTGGGGTTCCTGTTATTCGAAGCTAAAAGCATCCTAATTGATATGATTTTACTGTTTATTATTCTTTTAACCCCTAGAGTAGCCTCAGAAAGTTGCCTTTCTATAAATATTAAACTTAATGTTTATTATTAATAATACAGATATTATTAAGTCAATTATAGTGTATCCTTATTTTCTTCTTAGAACAAGATTTCTCAGTATTCTAACTTGTTACTTTAATATATTAAGAAAACTGTATTTCCAAGGTTGTTTTAGCCATCTTCACACTTAGTAGTATTTAACCTTCACTTAAGTATGCATTTAACCTTTAAATGTCTACTATATACATGTTTCTGTGTTAAATTTAACTTTCAAAGAGAATATGGCTGAGGGGCTGAGATTGTGGCTCAGAGGAAGAGTGCTTGCCTAGCATGCATGAGGCACTGGGTTTGATCCTCAGCACCATATAAAAAAATAAAATAAAATAAAATAAAGGTATTTTGTCTACCTACAACTAAAAAAAATGTTAAAAAAATAGAGAGAGAATATGGCCTTGCTTAATTTGAGAGAAATTGAAGAGCAATATGTTAACAAACCTCACTAACACAGGATTAAATCACTGTAAAAGCCAGGTATTGAGGCAGGGATGGACATGGCTGAGTGAAGAGCTAAGGAGAGAAGGGAGAGAACAGCATAGGTGGAATGACATCCTTAGGCTACAAAGTGAAGTGATCACTCAAGAAGAGGAAAGGAAGTATGGAGCTCACTGAGAAACCAAAAGCCTAAATTAAAGATTTGATGATGCAGTGCAGGAAAACAGTGCATCGAGTGGGAAAGGTTGAAATTGCCAGGCTCAGGAAGTTAAATCTCATCTTCTTAATTCACCTTCTTTAATGTGTACTGACTCTACTACAGAGATTATTGAAAGTTACTCTGGCAGAGGCATGTAGGTGAATTAGACCAGGAAGAGGTTGGCACAGTGTTCTGGGAAGCCATTACCAATAATCCACATATGAAGTGACAAGAGCTATAGGATAATAGAATCTGAATTCTACATCGAATTTCAGAGTTCCCAGAGCTGTTCACACACATCTAATTTATATAATTAGATCCTCTTATCCCTTTTTATGGATGAGGATACAGAGGTATAGAGCAGTTAAATAATCTGTCTCAAAATTGTCAGTGATGGAACCTAACCTATAATCTAAGACTTTTGACTTTCCAGTTCAGTGCTTTTCAATAATCTTAATATGTTCCATTTTTAGTGAAATTCCTTCATTGTAAAAATGCTACCTCTTTTAGGTTCCTATTTGCTTTCTTCTGTATTTGCTTACTTGACTTGTGCTTAACAGCACTTGTTTGTCGACTAGCTCTTGAAAGCAGCATAAATAAAAAAATCTTAATGCCACAGTTCACACTTACAAATATTAAAGCTCTGACTAGTGTGATGATAGTTAAATATTACCATCTTTTAGAAATTCCTCAAATAACAGAAAGGCAGTACTTTTAACAAATATAAAAGTAAATAAGTAAAATAGGTTAGGAGAAAGTTTCTGAAATGGAGAGTGAGACTTTAAGGGAACCTCAAAATGACTTCATTGAATGAAGGTAGTAAAATAGTTGCCTTTGATTCCTCAACTGTGGGCAAATCAACCTTTAAAGACCTGGAAGTACCATTTTAATAAGTCAGAATAAGGTAATTGTTAATCTGAATATACTTTTTTTTCTTTTTCCTCCAACACTGGGGATTGAACAACCCAGGGCTTTGCACATGCTAGGCAAGCACTCGATTAGTGAGTTACATATATTTACAGATCTTTTATATTATTTTGAGATAGAGTTCACTAAATTGCCTAAGCTGGCCTTGAACTTGTGATTCTTCTACTCAGCCGCCCAAGTAGCTGGAATTACAGGTGTGTACCACCTTGTCTGACTTGAACAGGCATTTTGATTTATGTATATAATCTTTTATTTAAAATGTGAATGAGCTATGTTAATGATGAATGTTGGACATTTGTCCTTTAAGTTATTCTTCAGGTATGCTCTAGATAGGTTGAAAGTTATGATTTCCTCCTTTCTTGGTGGTTTTGTTAAAAGAAAAACTTTAGACAAATTAAACTTAATGGAGTTTAATTGAGCAAAGAGCAGTTCATGAATTTGGCAACTCCTAGAACCAGGGACAGATTCATTGAGACTGGAACTACAAAGGGGAAGTGACATACAGAAAACAGAAGCAAGGTACAGAGATAGCTTGATGGATTAAAACTTGGCATTTGCCTTAATGAAACCTGATTTGACTAAAGCTTGGCTGCTATGATTGCCTAAGACTCAATTATTTGTTACAAAGCAAATTCCTAAGTTAGGTTTTTCAGTTTGTTTAGTACTGAATTAGGTTGCAGTTTCAGATACAAGGACTGGAAAGGAGGCTTTTTCAGGCCAAATTTAGTTTGATTTAAGAAGGTTAAAAAAAACTCATATCATGGACTGGGGCTGTAGCTCAGTGGTAGAGTGCTTGCCCTGAACGTATGAGGCACTGGGTTTGATCCTCAGCACCACATAAAAATAAATAAAGATATTGTGTCCCTCTACAACTAGAACTAAAAAAAAATTTTTTTAAAGTACTTATGCTTTAAGAAAAAACATATTATAAAATTTGCACTTGGTAGTTTTTAAGTGTACAGTTAAATGGTATTAAGAAACATTTATTTGAGTGCCTCCCATGTGTTGAGCACTGTTCTTGTTGCCACCAAAAGGAGGTAAGGGTAGAGGAGAGTCTCTCAGAGGGTCTTTTATTACACCAGATTTGGAGGTATGTAAAAAAGATGAATCACAATAAAAATCATTGCTTATTCAGTCTGAAATTAGTGATGGTAACAATAAATTCTGTGGGATTCTAGCAATAACATTTATGCTGTGGAAGTAAATTTTTGTCACCACTGCAGATACTGCAGTACTGAGGGAGGTACCTTAGAAGTAATGTGAACCATGTAACCTGGGGATTTTGGGTATCGGATTGTATTTGTTAGTCCAATGAGGGGAAAGAGTGATTAAGAAGTGACTTTTTAGATTAGCCTGAGTGTGGTTTTTGTCTTTGTCAGGATTTACAAGAGTACCTAAAAAGGCTCTCTAAGGGAAAAGTACCACTAAGAGAAGAAGTGGGGGGAATCCGATTGGTTTAAGCCTGTGGTATTTAAAGCTGGAGCTGAGAAGCAGCCTCTTTGGGTACTTTCAGTCTCTAGATGAAGGAACATACCTATTGAAGGCTCTCACCTCAAATGCAGTTAATGTTCAAAATAATCTAGAAGACGCATAATTTACATGTTTTTTTCAAAATGTCTTAGAAACCACTGTGCAGAATGCAAAAGAATAGAGAAATCTAAAACAAAGCTGAGTAGCCAGATGATAAGCATTTAGCAAATTGCTACTGGATCGTATTCACCAGATGATCTGCTCGGAAAGCTAATTCCTAAAATATGACAGAGCATGCTGATAATTGTTAAAGGCTGTGGCTGTGTGGTTTTTTTTTTGTAGTAGAAATCCATAAATAATGGGCTGGGGATGTGGCTCAACTGGTAGCACGCTCGCCTGGTGTGCGTGCGGCCCGGGTTCAATCCTCAGCACCACATACCAACAAAGATGTTGTGTCCGCCGAGAACTAAAAAATAAAAAAATATTAAAAATAAAATTAAAAAAAAAAAAAAGAAATCCATAAATAAGTTTTGAGCTACCAGAATGAGGGGAAGTATGTGAGGGAGAGGTTGAACTTTTGAAGTGTCAGAGCCCCAAAGGACTTTCACATGGCATCTGTCAGGTTCTGTTGAGCATTTCATAACTCCAGCTTCAGATAAAAATCATCTGGAAAGTTTTTAAAATGCTAATGCCCAGGTTCCACCCTTAATATGTTAAGATAGAATCTGAGACTATAAAGGGGAAGTGACATACAGAAAACAGAAGCAAGGTACAGAGATAGCTGGATGGATTAAAACTTGGCATTTGCCTTAATGAAACCTGATTTGACTAAAGCTTGGCTGCTATGATTGCCTAAGACTCAATTATTTGTTACAATTATTTGCAATTAGAGAAATTGCAAATAATTGTAACAAATCAAAACTACTCTTAATATGTTAAGACAGAATCTCAGAATTTGGGGAAGGAGGCAGGCCTAGTCATGAGGTATTTTTCTGTTTGTTTTTTGTTTTTTCTTTTTGTGTTTGTTTATTTGTTTAAGTTCTGCAAGTAATTCTGAAGTTCAGCCAGGGCTAAAAACCATTCTGACTTTTTACTTCTAAGCAGTAATCTATGGGGACGTTTATTAAAATGTATATAAAATGCTTGCTAACTGTATAAAATGCTGGCTTCCCTCCCCTGCCATCAAATAGGCTGTTTTGTTTCTTCTTAGTTGCAGGTTCCAAAGAAAGAAATGAAAAAAGATGAAGAGAGACATTTTAGAGAGGTCCCATGGCCTTCTTTAGGAAAGGATGGGGGTTGAGGGGTGGGAAACATTGCTATTAAATGTATTTCAGGAAGTAGAAAATATGGCATGTTCTCTATCTAAATTATGTAACTTTGCAGAATGTGGTCCATTTGTGTCAAAATAATGAGGCATATAATACGTTGCATTTAACATGTGTGGGAATTCTTTGCAGAGTAATTAGCATTCCTTTCTTCAGCCTGTATTCAGAGGAAACATACCATTCACACCCTCTCTGTGCTCACATTTTCCAGTGCGTTGGAGAGCTTTCTTTTCAATAGAAATCTTTGTCCTCTTCCTAATAAGACTTGGATTCAATTTGAAGAAACTTAGCATATCCTTCTTTGTTTTTCTGGCAGGAATTGATTTTAAAATCAGAACGATAGAACTAGATGGAAAGAAAATTAAGCTTCAGATATGGTAAGTACTGGAAGTGGGGGAAAACGCGCACACACACACACACACACACACACACACACACACACACAGAGTTTCTATTTTAATTGGGAATTGAGAGTGGGAATTAAAATGTGAGTTATAATGGTTTAAAGGCATCTTATGATAGCCGAAAGATCTTTTCTTTATTGAACCAAGGGGAAATGGGTAAGTACTTAGCATCCTTCAAAGGTATCTTCAGTAAGAGTGGGAAGGCGAAGCATGATACAGTTAACTCTGATAGCCAGAAGAGATCTGGGAGCTCATTCTTCCCAAGCTCTAATTTTATGCAGGAGGAAACTAAATCCTAAAACATGTATTTTACTTATTCATTGCAGTTATTACAACTATGAAATCAGATAAGGCAAAAGGTGAAGTAGTACAAACCCTGAATAGAAAATACAGAGCTAAGCTCTAGCCACAGTGTCTCTAAATCAAGGACTTTGGGCTGATTGCTCTCTTCTTTATTACCTTTATGTCACTATATTAAAATATCTGAGACAATTAACTTATAAAGAGAAAAGGTTTATTTTGGCTCACAGTTTTGGAGATTGCATTCAAAGATCAGGCAGACCCATTAGTTGCCATCCAGAGGGTACCAGATGGCAATGTCAGGGAGCACATGATAAAAAGCAAACCAATCACTTTGTGAGCCAGGAAGCAAGAGCAGGGAAGTGTCCAGGGTCCCACAGTCCCTGTTAAGGGATTCTCCCAATGATGCAAGGACCTCCTACTAGGCCCCACCTCCTACAAAAGGTTTCGTTTTATACTATGTTTTCAATAATTTTGTACATGAAACAAAACTTAATGTGTGGAATTTCATACTTGTATGTTGGCACATATAAGTTTCTTTGTTGTTTTGTTTTTTTGATATTTGGGATTTCAGATTTTGGAACATTTTGAGTTTCAGGTTTTGAAACACTTCAGACTTCATAACTTCATCCTATAATACATATCAGCTTTATTTTTACGCCTCACACATGAGATAGAACACTAATCTCTAGGGTATATAAAGAACTCAAAAAGCTAAGCACCAAAAAAACAACCCAATCAGTAAATGGGCCAAGGACCTGAACAAACACTTCTCAGAAGAGGATATACAATCAATCAACAAATTTATGAAAAAGTGTTTATCATCTCTAGCAATTAGTGAAATGCAAATCAATACTACCCTTAAGATATCATCTTACTCCAGTCAGAATGGCAGCTATTATGAAGACAAACAACAATAAGTGTTGGCGAGGATGTGGGGAAAAAGGTACACTCATACACTGCTTGTGGGACCTCAAATTGGTGCAGCCAATATGGAAAGTAGGATGGAGATTCCTTGGAAACTGGGAATGGAACCACTATTTGACGCAGCTATCCTTCTCCTCTGTCTATACCCAAAAGACGAAAAACAGCATACTACAGGACACAGCCACATCAATGTTTATAGTAGTACAATTCACAATAGCTAAACTGTAGAACCAACCCAGATGCCCCTCAGTTTTTCTTTTTCTCCTTTGAATCTCCGAACTAGGATAGAACTAGAATATTTTATTGAAGCACACCTCCAGCCCTTCTTTAATTGAGGAGGAGACTAGGATTTGGAGTGGTTAAGTTAATCTGAGGGGGCATATTGCTGGGTTAGTGATAATGCTGAGACAACCATCCAAATGTCCTGGAGCATGGTGTCAAATTTATGTAGTAGGCTAATCTAGTGGTTCCCAGTATGTTTCATTAGAAAATACTGTGAAGGTTCCCATAGGCTGCCCTTTTCCTCTATTGATGTTTAGTAAGAAAAAATATTTTAAAGATAGAAAAATAATTTTTAAAGAGGGCAATAAAAAGAATTTCTGATTCTGTGTTAGGCAGTCCTGATCATAGCAATAAGGAATGTTTCTCAGAGTCCGTGGGTGATTAGCTAATTAGAACTTAGTATAGAATAGCTACAGTGGTTTAGATGCAGTTTGTCTCCCAAGGATCCATGTGTCAGAAGCTTGTTCCCCAGTGTGACTGGGAGAAAATGTGGAACCTTTAAGAAGTGGGTCCTAGTGGGAGGACCTTAGGTTACTTGGGGCATTGCCCACAAAAAGGGAATACTGGTCTCCTGGAGTGAGTTCTCACAAAAGCAATTTGTCAGGAAATCCTGAGCCTGACCCCTGACTCACTCTGTTTTCCTGTCTTGAGATGCACAGTCCCTTCCTCCTGAAGTGTTCCCTTTACTACCATCCTCCATGATATGATACAGCTAAGGGGACTGTCACTAGAGCTGAGATAGTGTTTTTTTGAGCCTCCAAAACTGTGAGCTAAATAAAGCTACCCCACTTGGGCTTGCGCACATGACGCGCCCCCCCCCCCAGTCTCGTGGTGCTGGGGATCAAACTTGGGGCCTTATACATGCTAGGCAAGTTCTCTACCACTGAACTATATCCCAAGCCTAATGAATCAATGAATCTCTTTTTCCTTATGAGATGACCTGCTTTAGGAATTTTGTTATAGTAATACAAAATGAACTAATATAGTAGCCAAAACATCATGGCCCTGAACTATTATTACTCTCAGCAGAAAAATATTCTCCATTCAGACTTCACAACCTCCATTTAGTGTAGCAGGGTTTCTTTTCCATCCTTACTGCAAAGCTGTTTCTAAATTAGTAGTGTATGTAAAGAAAAGAAAATATGGTTAACCTGCTCAAAAGTGCTTGACATCTTTTGCCCCCATGATTTGTTTGCTGTATGCAAAACAAGTACCCTGTGTATCTAATCAGCAAAAGAATGACAAGATAGGGCTTATCAGGCATTGATGTGAAACTTGGCCCTGTGCTGTACATCTCTGCCACTAAAAAAGCTTGAGTCTTATTCAAGCTTTTTTAGTGGCAGAGATGAGTCCCCAGCCTTCCTGAGCCTGTATCCGCTTTTGCAAATGAGGATGATGTAATACTTTCACACATGCTGGGCTGTAATGGGCATCATGTGAGCACAATGTGAAAGTATTTTGTAAGGTATATATAAATGTTAAGGTATTTATTGTTTTTCATTTACTATATTTCCCTTGTTTCTTCATGTATTTCCACAAATGCCTCTTTCTCCCTTCCAATTAAATTGTACAATTTAGTTTGAGTAGCACAGGGAGCAAATTAGTTCTGGCTGTAAGTAGCAAATATGAGAATATTGATTTCACAAATATTAAGAAAATTTGACTTCTTTTATAGGATTACTACTAATTAATAACTGTGTGTGTGTATGTATGTGTGTCTGTCTGTCATCTTTCTGTCCCACCATTAATTGAGCATTAATTGAACCACAGGACCCTGCATATAATAGGCAAGCACTCTACCACCAAGCTATACCCTGGCCCTTCAGAATATATTTTAATGGTGTGCCACCAGACAAAAACCAAGAATATGTGAAAGCTTATATAACTTTGAAGTGTTCATGTTTGAAAGTCTTTGAAAACGTCATCAAGAATGATGTGTTGAGCTTTAAGCTCCCGGGTAATCATGGACTCCACTGCTGAAAATATTTTTGGGGAGATCTATTTTATTATGGTTTGCTGAGCAGAATGCACACAGTAGTAAATCCAGTTCAGTTGTTTGCTTTGTACAGAAGTCACACGTTCAGTCAAGAAAGGAAAATGCCTTAATCATTAATCACTTATAAGAAGGATTATTGCTACTTCTGAGAGTCTAAGAATTGAAAACTATTCCCTGTTCCCTCCCACATGTGTTTGACTATGCCAGTTCCTAGCAGGACCTGTGTATTTTCTGTTGCTGCTTTTATCAGCAGGGTCCAAGGTTTTCCTCCAAGTCATTTGAGCTTCTGACAGGCTCCTGTGGCCGCCACTGCCTCCATCTCACAGATGCACAGTGGGCTCTCTTTGTGTCTCATTCTCCTCTCCTTTGCAACCACTTCACTATGAGAAAACCAGAATTCCATCTCCTCCAGCGTGAGGCCTCTTCTCAGTGATGCTGTGATGACTTTTGAAACTGTTCTCTCTTTTGTTTCAAATTTTAGGGACACAGCAGGTCAGGAAAGATTCCGAACAATCACAACAGCATACTATAGAGGAGCCATGGTGAGTGTGCTTTAGGGTTTTATAACTCTTGAGGTGAAAGTAAAACATGAATATTCATTTACTCTTATTATATGAGTCAAGCTGGAATCTAATTCAGTGAGAGAAAATAATTTTTTTAAATGTGAAAACAAGATATTTTAAAAGGTTTTCGGGTGATGTGTTAGGTTTAATAACTATATTTTGCCATTGGTCTTCATAATAATCAGGCAATTAGCTTGTAGATATCCTAGAACTCTTCTGTATTCTGAGGTGTTCATATATTTTTGACTAAGTGTCTATTTCTTGACCCCTTTGTCACTCAGCCCTGCTGCCATCATCCCTTATCTCTCACAACCTCTTCCCCCCAATCCCCTGCTTATGGCTCATTTCTCTGGTGTCTCCTTGACCAACATTATACTAGCTGGTCAGGAAGTAACAGAATGATCCAAGACTCTTTGAGAGTTAGAATCTGGTGAATCTTTACTGCCAGGTCTTTCTTTGCTATATTCTGCCCTTATCCATGTTATCATAACTTCATCACTTGGTTATTTTCCTCTCTAAAATGCCTCATCTCTTCAGTGCATTTATATTGCTCGACTCTGGGCAAGTCATGTGTGGTGCTGGGAATACAGTGGTGAATAAGGCAGCTTAGAAGCAAAGGGGTACTGAACCATGCCTAGAACCTCAGGCCCAAATCAGGGCTTTATCTCTGGCTTTTAGGCCTAAGCCAGAGGCTAAAGGTATAGTTTAGTGATAGAATGCTGGGTCTAACGCCCCCACACCCTCCACACCCCCCAAAAAAACAGCTAAGTAAATGAATTAGGCCCAAGCCGGGCCCAACCAAGTTGAAGCCTTGAATTATGATGAAATTCAATATGCTTAGAGTCTTTGAAGGTTGAACAATTGAGCTCAGAGAGCCTAACAAAAGATTCGGGAGGGGACTGAAACAATCTGATATTTTACTTAGTTTAGTTTGTGGTGACTGAAGGAGATAATGTAATGACTGATGTCTTGACAATGGTACCTAAGGAACTTCTAGCCCTGTCTATATCTTTGGCCTCATCTTGTGCCCTATTCTCAGTAGATCTATGCATTGTTGCCCAGCTGTCTTGGGCTCTGGGCCTTCCATTCCAGTGAGATATTTTTATTTCTGCTATTTGCCCCAGATATCCATGGGCTTCCTGTCTTCACCCTATCCCTAACCCCTTGTTCCCAGTGTAAGTCTATTCAGTCCTCAGACCTTGGCTTTAATGTCATTTTATCAGAGAAATCTCTCACTATTCCAGCTTTTCATTCAGCTTAAGATTACATCCCTGACATGCGAGCTTAGAGCTCCTCATGCTTCTTCATAGCAGCTATCAAAATTTTAATTAATTGTATAATTATTGATTCATTGTTTTCTTTGCTAGCCATCCCCAAGAGGAAGGGAACTTGACTATCTTATTCATTGCTATTAGCACCTAATATTATTGTATTAGGCATATAGTGGATGCTCACTAAATATTTGTTGAATGGTGAGCACATCTAACATGTAGAATCAAAAAGTGGTCTGAGGATATAGATTATGGGCTTGTTAACTTGCAAATGTTAGATGAACCTTTTAGAAATACCAGATGTGGGATCTTTAAAAATGTGATGACAGGGCCTTTCATTACACCTGCATAACAAATACATTAAATTTTAAGTGTCGATAATTTACTTAGAATAAATGATGACATTTTGATCAACCTATATAAAAAATTTAAAGCAGTGTGGTCTCATTCTTAGTGGAGAACTAAGAAGCAAGATGATTTCTACTTGGAATGGAAGTGATTACCTCCTCCTTTTAATTTACCTTTATTTTAACTTAAACTTGCCTTCAGTTCCAGTTGGTGCTGATTGTTATCATATGAGGTCAGGTAGAAGAGGTGTATTACCTTTACCACAATCACTAATTCATTAAAGGTTAACAATGAAGATAAAGAGTATTTATTTACATGGTGAAGCAATGGAAGAATTTATTTTTCTCTGTACTTTTCAAATACATTATGAATCCCTTTTTAAAGAAAAAAGGAACAAAAGGTTTCTGGAGGGTAGGAGTACATTGACATTATATACTATAACTTTAAATATATGAAGTACTATATAAAGTACTATATAAAGTTTCCTCTTATAGGGAATTATGCTGGTGTATGACATCACAAATGAAAAATCCTTTGACAACATTAAAAATTGGATAAGAAACATTGAAGAGGTATGTATGGAAAGAGAATGATGATACTGGAGAGGAGTCCTGGTGAGTGCTTACTATATAAGGCCCTTCTGTCTTTCTCTGAGGCAGCCAGGCTGCTGAGAGAGATGTAGGATGTAGGAAGGCTAGTCCTTCTCTTTGCACTCCATGAAGATCTCTGGTGCTGCCAGTCTGATTGCTGTGGGTTGTAGACAGAGGAGCAATTTTACAGAATTTTAAACTTGGGCCAGATCTTGGAAATAATTTTATCCTAGTCCCCATTTTATTCATATAGAAACTGAGGCCAGAAGTAAGTGACTTGCCAGTGTTTGCACAGCCTTTAAAATGGAGAATCAGAATTAGGACATTTAATTCCCAGTTTTATCAATTCTACCTGCTGTATGACTAGCTAAACTATATTTTTACTCTGGCAACTTTTTCCCTTCATTTTCTCCATGTTAAATGAAGGTATTTGAAGTTTGGCTTAATTCCAGAATACTTTTGACATTTCAGAAATTGTACTCTGAAATAACTTTGTACACGTTTATATTAATCCACATAAATTTATTTTTTAAATAGTTCGGAATCCAAAATATTTCTCCACTGGATCACTATCATGTTTTTCTGTCTTGCTTGGTCCCCCCTCCCCGCGCTTACTGCCCACTCCCACCCCATGTCTTTATGTACAAAAAGCCATGAGAATGATGACTGGGAACCTATGGGGAAGGAGTTTATATAGGCTCTGCAAGGCTCTAAGCTGTAGCATTCCCCTCCTCCCATCTTTAACTCTTCTCTGAATCAGGCCTTGTGTTGAATGAAAGATTATTTGTCTTATTATTAAATACATTGATGTGTTTCTGACAGGTTAGGATTTTCCTGTTGAATAGCTGTGATTTTTCTCAGGCTGTTTTTATAGTGTACTATTTTCTTCTTGCAGCATGCCTCTTCAGATGTTGAAAGAATGATCCTTGGTAACAAATGTGATATGAATGACAAAAGACAAGTGTCAAAAGAGAGAGGGGAGAAGGTAAATTTGAATTGAATAAAAGTTGGAATCTACTTACATTAAGTCTTCATTTTCTTAATATTATTTAATTATTGATCTAAGTTTTTAAAATATGTGTTTTAATTCTTGAGAATGGAGTCAGCAACAAGAGATGTAATCCATACTTGAATGGTGTGAATTAGTATTCAGGATCCAACTCCTTATACTGTGTCGTCATGACTCACTCCTAAAGAATTTGCTAATGTTTTCTGGGAGATACAAATTGATCCTTTTTAAGATTTTCTGCAGCTTAGAGTTCAGGCTGTTTCTTCCAGATCTGTGTGAAAAACCCAGTTTTGAAGTTAAAACAATTTGGAGGGGGGAAAAAAAGGATAAGTAGAGTTTCAACAATCATTTTCCAGTTTATTTTATTTTCTAAGAATATTCTATCATACACTGGATTTAGGCCATTATGAATAAACTTTTTGTAACTGATCAAGCTATAGATATGTCATTTGTAGGCTTTTCTGTTTAGTGTCCTATAAAGCAAAAATTTATATTTTGTAGCTTTTTAATTCTATGGCATTTTCTAAATTAACTTAAGAGGTTTCCCTTTTTGAGTCCTAGAATTTTGCTTTATCCTTTTTCTTCAGGGATACATGCAAAATGCATTTTGTTTTTTAATCTGACTGCACACTTTTCCCCTAAAAACATTCACTTAATTTTAGTGTGGTAAATGAATTGGGGAACTCTTTGAGAGTAGATGGAAATATGGAAGAATTCATAATTCTTCTAAATCAATAGTATAAACCAGTTCATTTAAAAATAATTAAAAGTGACTTAGAGGGCTGGGGCTGGGGCTTAGTAGTAGCGCACTTGCCTGACGTGTGTGAGGCATTGGGTTTGATTCTCAGCACCACATATAAATAAATAAATAAACAAATGAATGAATGAATATATGTATGTCTATCAACAACTTAAAAAATAACTTAAAAAAAAGTGATTTGGAGAATTGTACCTTTGTAGAAAACATAAAGGATAAATGAATCCCAAGTTATGGTAAGAGTGGGAATTCATCTCATAATTTTTCTTGTCTGTATATTAGAGAACCAAAAGTTTAGTAGAACAAAGAGAAGTACTGACATTGTGTATTAAATGAAAGTTATGCCACATTTACTATTAAGTTAAATTATTAAATTTCAAGTGAAATAGAAGAAAGCAAAGAAATTTGAGAACAACAGGAGTTCTGTAATTGATAACCTATTTGGGGGACTTTGAAAAACCTAAAAAATATAAATATGTTCAAGTCACTTTCACTGGATTTAAGGTTTCTGTTTGCCTTTCAGTTAGCAATTGACTATGGGATTAAATTCTTGGAGACCAGTGCAAAATCCAGTACAAATGTAGAAGAGGTAAGAAGAAAATGTTTGGTAATGGCACCAGTGCTTTATGTGCCCACATTCAAGTGATTGATTCTCAAAGCCTTGATGTTTTCTGACCAAGTGAAAAAGCCTTTTGTGAGCATATCTCCATATTGTGCACTGTGACTTTCACATGGTATTTGGGTGGCTGAATTTCTAATGTCCAGACCTCACAAAGATTTTTTTTTTAAGATTGTCGATTAAAATTTACCAAATAGGAAATAGAAGTTCAGTTTAAGTTCAGTGTAATTCTTTGGGAAGCTGGAAATCCTGGATAAGCAGGCCAAGAGGTGTCTTTTGCTCATGTGTCATCATTCATGTCACCTTGTAGTAGCCTGTAGCAGACAAGTTAAATTACTTTCATGTCTGTATTATCCCAAGAGAGAATAAAACTGCTATTTTATTGAACAGATTCCCTTTTTGTACACAGTGAAGTAGGTTAAGAACAATACATTGTAATATTATGACATTAGGTAGAAATAAGATAGTTTGTCAGAGAGTAGCTTTAATGAATTTTTATTAAGTTAGCTGTTGAAGAAAATCACATCTTTTAAAATCTTCTAAGAATAGGTTTTCTTTACCAAGGGCAGAATTACCAATATTTTCTTTGTTTAAAAAAAATTTTTGGAACTGATCATAAAAAAATAATACATGTAATATGTGTTAATAAATATTTCACTTAATAATACAGATGTTTGGCCTCCTCAACATTTAATATCTTAGGTTATTCACTGTCATAACATGAAGGGTAAAACTCAAGACTTAAATGACTTTATTTGCCAGTGGACACTGATCAGAACATTTTTTTGTTTGTTTTAAATAATACACTCATCTTTTCAAGTTGGCTAATGGGTATTGGGAAACAGGAAGTCTCTACTGATTTATTTATACAAGCATAGTTAAGCAGAAAAATGCTTCCTTCTGCTTGCCACAAAAGGATTTCCCTCTACAAGAAAAGAGGCAGTCTCTTACCTTAGCTCAGCATGAATGGTAGAAACAGAAAAGCTTGCTCACTGTGATGGCCCTGTAGGATCACTCACACAGGATTATCTCTGTACCCTGGCTTAATGAAGCAGGCCTGGTCTCTTTTAGTGCCTGCACCCTGATCACAGCTATGGCTTAGAGGGAGCATTGAGTTGTGGAAGTATAGAATGAAGAGTTGCTTGAGCTGCTTATTCTGGCCAGGTGTTCTAGAGAAGTTAGCAATTTCCCCAAAGCTTTAAATTAGTGTGGTTAGCCTCATACAAACTAAGATGAGGCCTGGAGCGTAGCTCAGTGACAGAGCTCTTGACTAGCAACTGTGAATCCCTGGGTTCAATCCTTAGCACCACATGTCAAAATAAAGGCACACTCTCCATCTACAACCATAAAAAAAAAAAAAAAAAGCTAAGATGAGCTTTCTTAGAAACTTACTTATATGTAACCATTGTGACGTTGAGATACTGATCATGAGTATCACTAGTCGTTTTGTTTAATTGGATTGCAAATAATACTTTTCCTGAACAGTTTTTGGGGATCAGGAGTGGCTGGAAACAATGAGGCTGACATAGCAGTGCATTTAGCAGGGGAACAATTGAAGAAATTTAGGAGTTCTTGACTGCAGAAACAAAAAGTGATGACAGGCTTAAAAAATACTTGGTATGGGTCAATAGATAATATAAGTTGATAAGACACAGAAGATTGTACATACTGTTAATAGTCGAAATTAGAGAGAGAGATTTTTGCAAAGATAGATATTAGAGCTAGAGTACTGCATAATTATTCATTCACTCATTAAACAATAATTGCATTTCCTTAGACCAGGCACTGTGACCTGCTCTGGGGAAGGTGGGGGTGCTGCTATCTTTATTTTTCACTTTGCACATCAGCACATCTGCCTTGTTCTTGATGTACTGAGGAAGCTATTCATAACTTGTATCAGATCTTACATGCAAAAAAATATTTAATGAATGAATGAAAGACAGTTTGAAATGTTTGTGATATAATTGTAAAGAATATGGAATATTAATGTGCATACTATGATTACAATTATGCTCTTTTCTCAAAAACTCTAAAGTAATATATAATGAAATACTTTTCAAAAATTCCATTTCTGTTTTGAAACATTATGAATATATAATAATGAAATTTTTTGTTTTACCTTTAGGCATTTTTTACACTTGCACGAGATATAATGACAAAACTCAACAGAAAAATGGTTTGTATCATTTATAATTTCTATTTCTATTATGTGGATTTTTTAATTTGGCATTTGATGATAAGGATGAGCATGATTATAACATATTCACATTAAGCTCACTTTTTCCTGACTCACATATTCATCTGGTTGGACTTTGATTTCTTTCCATTTCTTTAGGATCCTTATTCCTGCACTGAAGCTGTCTTTAATTTCGATTGGAATAATGAAAATACTAATGGCACAAATTATATTTTTCCCATAAAATTATCTAGTTCACCTTCATGTGACAGATATTTATATATTATGATTTTGATGTTTGCTTAAATTTGAAACTATCTAAGTGATTAATCATTAGGAAAGGCTTGAAAGTTTGTTTTAACCATTCCTGACTCTAATTGTACACTTTATATTACCAGCTTTTCTTACATCTAACAGGATTTTCTACACTAGAATCTGAATATTGTTTCTATCACTATCCTTGAAACGTTATACTCCATTGGTTATAATTTCTTTGAATTGGAAATTTGACTTTCCTACCTAATATATTATTAAAATAGAAGTGCTGTCCCAAGAACATTTTTCTCTTTTTATTCACCATTTCCAAAGAAAAAGATAACACCGGAGCTTAACTAGTTCCCTTTCTAATTCAGTTAGTAGAGTACACATTTCACTAGAATGTACATTTCACATAGTATGGTTTATTTTTAAGTAATTGGGGATAAAAACATGAAACTTTTATTTCCTTGGTAACTTTGTCTTCTGTTTTTTAGAATGACAGCAATTCATCAGGGGCAGGTGGACCAGTGAAAATAACAGAAAACCGATCCAAGAAGACCAGTTTCTTCCGTTGTTCGCTGCTTTGATGAACTCTTTCTTTTTGAGAGACTGCAGCATACCTAGAAGGCCCTTTCCTGCTTTTCTGAAAGCACAGGTCACCCGGCCTCAGAGTCACACTGCCCGGCTGCTGCTGAGAGCACCCACTGAACTTAGACCTCCCGACACAGAATGCCAAGTGGATCCAGCCTCGTGGCCTAGCAAAAGAATAGGCTCCTTTTTTATTATACATGGAAGCAATGAAGTGGAGACACATGCAGGACCTTGCTGGTTTTTTCTTTCTTTTATTGCCTGTTGCAAAAGCTGCTATCTTTCTTTTTCACTTTGCACATCAGTATTAGCCTTTTCTTATTACTGTACACCTTAGACTCATACTTGCACACTTTTGTGGCATGAAGTTCTAGACAAATTTGGGGTTGTTTAAAATACAACAGAATATTAAGCAGAGGTTGACAGACTAAAATTAAAGGACACTTGGTCTGATTCATAGGGCCAAATATTGTATTGGTAGTAATTGTTTAAGGGCTTTGATTTGTGATTTTCTTAAATAAGAATCATTAAATTATGATCAAATTTATTTTAGAAAGTCATAAAAATGCCTACTTGTTCATCAGCAGCCACAGTAGCTTTCTTCAGATTGTTAAGATCTTTTGTTTCATTCTTGATCTTTTTACCAGAGTCTGGATAGCTGAATGAATCACTTTTTAAATTCATTACCTCTGCCTGATCTTATGGAAACTGCATTTGGAAATCACCATAATCTCATTTTTCCTGGGGTTTGTATTTGCTCTTCTTTCCTATGTTGGACTTATTGTAATTACTTAGTTATCTAAAACTAGTAACAAATTTGACCATTGTTGTCTGATTCTATTTGTGATCTTCTTGAGCTGAGATTTTACATAGGGAAAGAAATGCATAATTTAGGGCTTTATTTTAGCATCTAACTGTGGTTGTGTCACATCAGAATATATATAATATATTTTTTCTTAGGTTTACCCCTTAGCTTACTAGTTAATACCAAATTTCTACCATAATCCCTGTCTGCAAGATTAACTTAGATTTAGATTATAGTTGGCAGAAAGCATACTTATAGGGAGAGAGAAGAACTTGTCAATAGAAATTTAAGAGATAGTTCTTAGTAATGGTGACAATAATGATTTTTGGTCCTATTTTGGGGTTTTTAAAAAGTTAAAAGTAATTACACCTAGTGCATCATCTCAGAAAAATTTTACTTTTTCATTAAGAGAAAATATGATGAAGGCTTCACTTTTAAAACAGTTGTTGAATGTGTAGAACCCAGCTCCATCTGTTAAGGTTCATTGTTATAGAACTTGGTCTAGTTATTTGGACCAAACCCAACCAAAAGCTTAGTTGCCTTTCTCACCAAACACTGGTACTGGTATTCCTTTTGTAGATGTAGCCATCACATAAGATGGTTTTTAATGTTAACTTATGTGCCAAATTCAGATCATAATGTCATTGTTGCTTTTGTAGCCTTCAGTGTCTTAACACAGGAGGGGATAATAAAGAGGAGACTATGGAATTGAATTCTGTTAATAACTGTTCTTCCTGTTATGCCTATAAAGGCTGCTATAATGCTAGATAGTTAAGAATGAAAACTGGAAATGGAAATGGATTGGATTGTTTGTTACCACAGAGAATTTTGATTCAAATTAAGATATGTCATTTCTGTGCTTAGACCAGTCAGCCTTTATTCCATATTTGAAAACTTAGAAATAATTTAGTGGCTTCAAATATGCCAGAGCAATTTTTGGTGATAATCTAAACTTACTGTTGACAAATTTCAGCCTCCTTAGTTGTTTTGTTTGTTGTTAATAGTTACCTGTTAGTGTCCCAGTATAATCAATAAGTCTATGATTGCAAGTTGATTGTAAGTCTACCATCTTCAAATTTAGATACATTTTTAAAAAGAAAAAACAATTTCTTAGAAGCATCTTATATTTACTAATATTCTGAATAAAAAATATTCAAGCAGTTAAGCTTTCTGGATGGTAACAAAATAATTTCTAAAAGGCAAGTGCTATGACACCATGAATGAATGTAATTCTCTTAGTTTTACCTCTGACTATTTGGTGTCTTAACACTTTGGTTTCTATCTCAGGGGTTGTCTGCAAACCAAAACTGACATATTCTGTGGTTAGCTTTTATTATTATTTTTTAACAGAATGCTTTGCTTTTGTTGTATTTCTTCATTCTTATTTTGTCTTCTCTGGGTTAATAACTAGTCTCCATGAACTTCCTTTTGAAAGAGCCTGTAAAAGTTAGATGAGCCTATTAGTGCTCTTTGAAGTAGCAGCAAACTGGGAGTATATGCTCTGTTATATAAAAATAAATTGTCCTTGCTATTTTCTTACATTTAGCTTTGCTAAATTGTATATAATTTGAGCTAAGACCATAGGAAACTCACTTTCTGCATGGTAAAATGACCCAATAAATGTTCCACTTTGCTTAATAATGTACATATAGTGCATTATTTTTTCTATTTGTAGATGAATTTAGTAACAGATAATTGTCTGTTCCCTGCTGAAACTGAAGAAATCTAGGGGGTTTTTGTTTGTTTGTTTTGTTTTGTGAACATATTTGTGGTCTTATGATAAGGTACATAAAGATTTTTGCAGCAGTATTAGTGGTTCAGTGGCTGCACTTTAATATCAATGTGCTAAGTTTGACAATGATTGGACTAGAAGACCTTTTCAAATAGAGCCTGAGGGCATCAGAAAATGAAAATATGCTGTAACTAAGTAGCATGTAAATCAGTTGATTGTAAAATGTTTCACTGGGAACTTATTTTAGCTATATTTTACCTTCAACAAATTATGATAAAATAATCTACCTGTGCATCGGTTAGTAGGTGCTGCAGGGTTTCTTACTATTTACATGAACATTTTTGTGCAGTCTTTGTTATAAAATTTCAGAAGACTTTACTCTTTTCTTTGAAGGACTATTTTTTAATTATACCTCATTTAGCTAACTAGTATTCTAATACCCAGTAGAGAAATGGTGACCCAGCCTTTAAGCATCCAACTTTAGATTACATGTTTTGCTTTGTTTTGAGCTGAAGGTATTCCTAGAAAAAGTAGATGATAGCTTAGTTTAGAATAGAACATACATGTCATATCCAATAATGTTAAAAAAAGTATTATCACCCTGTGTCCATTAATAAATTTAGCCGTGCAATATAGATACATTTTTGCAAAAGTTTCTAAGTAAGAATTTTTAACTCCATTTTACCAGTTCTGAATGCTGAGAATCTGTATTAAGGCTTATAAGGTTTTCTTATGATCAGGAAGTGATATATTTAAGCAGGCCCTCTTTTCAAGCCCTTTTTTGACTTAGATTCCTTTATAAATTTAGTTTTAATCTTTAAAGATGAGCTTCTAAGCCTAAAAATTTTAAGCCACATTTCATTATGTTGGTTTACTTATCTCAAATTTTGAGCACTTGTTTCTGCAATCAGGTTTTTTAGATTTTTTTTAACATAAAAGACAATCCTTTTTCCTTCTTATATCCAGAGGTGGAGAGGAATGTCTAAAAATGAAATCCCTAATATAGTGGGACCTAGAAAGATAAGGTATGCTAATAAAATTTAAAATTCTAGCAAAATTTTACAGTAAGATTAGTCTTTTTTTAAGACTAGTAAAATTATTAGGAGTCAAGTTTACTATGAAAAAGATTGAAATAAAGTATACAGAAATGAAAATTAGCAAACAGTTACTTTTGGGATATTTTTAGATTTTTGCTTCATTTATTGAAATGTGTGTGCTGTATGCAACTGCATTTCTTATTGCCAAGAACTGATAGAACTTCTTTCATTTTCTTACCTTTTTTAAAAATGTGAATTTAATCATGATAGTTTATTCCTATGGCCTTACAGATGGTTTTATTTTGTTTGCAGTTGATGCTGCAGTCTTTTGAAAAAAATACCATAAACTGTTTGACTAAAATCATGCCCTTAATGGGATCTATTTTTTTCATAGAATTATCCTACTGTATATGTTTAAACATTTTAATTTGCTCCAATGGCTTAATGTGAAAAGCTCCTGAAGATAAAGTAGACCTGTCATGTGGTTAATCTTGTTTAAGCCAATTCATTAACTGTGTACTGATACTGATGCTGTGTATGTGTGTGTGTGTTTTTTTTTTAAATGGGTTTTATTCCAGGTGAACTTTTTTTTATAATAATGTTCGTCTAAAAATAAAAACTACATAATGAAAATATTTATGGCTCACTGAAGTGGATTGCACATTTTAAAAATGATTCTGTAAATTTGCTAGTTTTGATATTTTAGCAAATTATATATATCATTGAGTTGCTTAAAGATTTAGAAAAATTGCCAAACCTTCAGCTCATTCTTAATTCAGAATATACTGAAGTCATTCTGTTGTAGAACCTGTAGCTATAAACTGATCATGCTTCCCTTCTTAATCCTTGCAAATTTGTAGAGAATTTGTAACTTCTGTAGTTTTGTTTTCACTGAGAAAAATCACAGTCTGATCATACCAACTGTGTTCTGTCATTTGTTCATGTTTTCATCCCACAACTATTTTAAACCTTTTTTGTCAAGCTTCCTACTGGTAGGCAGATCTTTTACCTCCCCCTCTCAGAGCAAAGCATCATTTTGCAAAGCACTTAGCCTCCTCTCTCTCCCTGAACTATGATCCACCTTCATCCCACTCCTTCCTCTTGGTGGCAAAGAGGATCTTTCTTCCCTAGGCTCCTCTTTCTTTCTCTTCTCTTGATTCATCTTCCCAACTTATCCTGCTTTTAAGGGAACTAATAGCCCCCTTTTCTTATACTTAAAAACTCCTAAGCTGTCTTATACCTTTCTTCTCTGCATCTAAATGTCATTGACCAGCCTACTCCATTGCCCCATGCCCTACTATTCTTTTTTCTCATTGACTTGTTATAGTTAGGCTTTTTCAAAGAATTGTCTATATTTACTATCTTCATTTTTTTTTATTAACCTACTCCAGGTTAGCTGCTGCCCCCACCACTTCACTGATGTCGTGTTTACAACAGCCTAGTTATAGAAGTAGTGGACAATTTTCAGCCCTTGTCTTAGCTAACTTCTTGGCAGCATTTGACTTGTATACCGTTCCCTCCTAAAAATGTTCCCTTCTCGCAGCTTCAGTGATAATATGCTTCTGATCCTCACTCTTCCCGCGTAATTTCTTCCTTTTTCATATGTCCTATAAGAAGGCCAAATAATGCCTTTCCCTCCCCACAGATGATGTTCATACCCTAATCCCTGGAATCTGTAACTGATATTGTATATAGCAAAAGGTACTTTGAAGATGTGATCAAGTTAAAGATCCTGAGATGTGAGATGACAAGAGATTATCCTGGATGATCTAAGTGGGCCCAGTGTAACCTAGGAGCCATTCTTATAAGAGGGAAACAGGAAATGTCAGAATTAGAAGATAGTTAAGTGATGATGGAAGCACAGGGATGATGGAAGCCAAGGAGCCTGAACAGCCTCTAGGATCTAGAAAAAGTAAGGAAAAGGATTTCCCTGTAAAGCCCAGCCTGTCCCAGTGCCTTGATCTTAGCCTGTAAAACTCATCCTGAACTTAAAATCTCCAGAACTATAATACATTTATGCTGCTTTACTCCACTAAGTTTATGATCATTCAGCTATAGAGAGTTAATTCAGCTTTAAAATGTGTATTTCTAGTGCCAGCCTCTTTTCATAGGCCCAGATGTCTTACTGGACATCTGCCCTTTGATCCACTACAGGTATATCAAACTACATTTCTGAAACTGAAATTCAACTTTATCTTCTCTGCTCCATAACAACTCCTAGCAGCAATTCCAATCCTATGAAGAGAGACCTGTTGCTTCTACATGGTAATAAATATTACCATCATCTATCTAGATTCCCAGTTAGTCAGTCTCCAAGTCTTATAGATTCTGAAGATGGTATGGGAGGGGGGACAGTGTCCATCCAGTAAGGCTCCCAGCACATAGTAAATGTTTAATAAATCTTGAATCAGTGAAATTTAGTAATCATTAAAAAATCAACATGCCACCAAAGTGAGCTAAATATAATTTAGGAACTAAAGGTAATTTAGAAGTATTTTTCTTCACTTTTTAATTTAAAGAAAGGTTTGAAGTAAATCCATAAATGCCTTGTTTAGGGCAGCAAGAAAAAGAGAAGTTTTATTCTGGTATTTAGACTGTTTTAAACTTTGTTAAATACTTCAAACTATATTAATCTGTGTTAAATGTCTTATATGTAATTTTTATTAAATACAAGAGGATTTTCTTTTAATCTTTTTAACACAATGCTTTTGCTGAGTATTGACAAACTGAGTAAGCCCTCTCTCCTCCTTCAGTTTTTTGTCCTCAAAATTTTGCTTACTTGGGAGGCAAAGGCAGAAGGATTCCAAGTTCAAGGCCAACCTGGATAACTTAGCAAGACTCTGTGTTGAGAGCCACAGCCCAAGGGGCCCCAGCAAACTTCCAGCTGCCAGCAAACTTTCAGCTGCCAGCTGATGATTGGCTCACAGCAGCCCCAGCAAACTTATGGCTGCAACTGATTGGCTCACCCCAGCTGATGATTGGCTCACAGCAGCCCCAGCAAACTTCTAGCTGCCAACTGATTGGTTCCTCTGCGGTGATGCTCATTGGGCTGTTTCCCTGCCCTTTCAGACCAAGGAGCTGCTCATTGGGGGACTTTTTTTGGCTCCGCCCACGCGACCCAGCCAGTCAGCCTCAAGAGCAGGAGGAGGGGGGAAGGTTGAGAGGCTTGTGGGAAGCTGGTGGTGGCAGTTGGGTTCTGAGGGTTTTCCTGAAGAGCTGTGTGGTGTGGTGTTTGTGTTCTAAAAATAAAGTTCGTTTCCTTTGACAAGTGGCTCCTGAATTGTGCCCAGCCAGACTGCGGCAACCCTGCCTCAATAGAATAAAATAAGTGCATTAAAAGGACTGGGAAGGTAGCTCAGTGATAGAATACATTGCCTAGCAATGCATGAGATCCTGAATTCCACCCTCAGTGCTGGAAAAAAAGATAGGTTTTCCAATATTAACTCCAGGGATATATGAGACTGCTCCCTATAAATAAACAAAATAATTTTGTTATGCTTTGGGTCTTAAATGTCCTCCAAAATCTCATGTATTGAAGGCTTGGTCTCCAAATGATGGTGTTATTGAAAGATGGTGAGTTCTTTAGGAAGTAGGGCCTGGTGAAAGGAGTTTGGTTGTTGTGGGTGTGCCCTTCAAGGGGATAGTAAATTCAGCCTCAGCTTGCAAGTAGTAGTACTCATTACTGACTTTTTTTTAAGGTGGTGCAAGAGACAGAAACCCTAAGAAAGAAGGCAGAGAAAGACAAGGATGGCTGTGAATAGACTTGGGATCACAATCTATTCCCAGCCCCTTCCTTCTCTTTCTTTTTTTTTTTTTTTTTTGCCTCCTGGCTGCATTGAGATGAGCAGCCTTTTCTGCCACATGTTCTCAGTACCATGATGTACTTCCTCACTAGAGACCCAAAGTGACTAGGCCAAACATGAACTGAAACCTCAAACTGTGAGCCAAAATCTTTCTTCCTTTTAAGTTGATTTTATCAGGTATTTTTCCACAATAACAGAAGGTTGAGTAATACAATTATAAAAGTAATAAAAGGGACAAAACTTAGGAAATGCAGGTGGGTGCTCTATTCTGGAACCTGGAATTCTTGATTTTTAATAAAGGCCTCTTTATACCAGATTCAACCGCACCAAGACATTGAGACCCACCTGCATTTTCCTAGATTTCTTCCTTATCTGTTGTCTTTGCCTTTTTTTAAAATTATATTGGATGATCCCCAGTCTATTTCACAGCCCTAATATTCTATGAAACACTATTCATTTCTCCAAGGCAGACTACTTGATATCCCTACCATAATTACAATTTGTCTCTTTGATATCTAAGTGAAGCTTTCTTTTTTGGTTTATAAATTTGGAATTTAAGTTCAATGGACTTTCTTGAGTTATAAAAAAGGCTTCATTGAAAGAATTAGGTAGTTAAGTAATGGTTTCTCTGATTCTTATGACTAATTTTTCCTCCCTTATCTTTATCTCATATTTTCTTCTTCTTGCATTGTATTAAAAACAAATAGTGAATATTTTTAAGCTGAATTTACTATAAAAGTGTGGTTATTACTTTGTTCTCTGGTTTCTAAGTATTATTTCCTGTAGACTCTCATTCTGTACCATCAATAAAATCAGTGTTTAATGAGACTTGGGTTCTCAGATTAACTCCTGCAGGGCCAGTAGCTTCACTCAGTCCTACTACTATGAACCCTCCTTATCCTGCCCAGCAGGATGAAAACTAGCATTTGGTACTAATAAAACTGAATGTATCCCTCTATCTCCTGTCCTCCCTTAACTGGCTTCCTGTCTCCTCTCCTCCAAAGCCAAATGTCTCTTTCTTACCACATACTAGTTGAAGAACACTTTGCAGAATGGCTTTTACCCGTTTGTGTGTTACATACACAAGTGACTTCCTTATAGCAAGATCCAGTGGACACATTTCACTAGTACCTTGCTTAACCTCTCCACATCCTCCTTTGTGATTTTTTTTCTCCTTTGCTTCAGTGACACTACCATGCTCCTAGTTTCTTGCTACCTTCCTAGTTGTTCCTTTTCAGTTTCTTTTGTGGTTCCTCTTCTTGTACCTGAAACATTGGCTTCTGGCAACACTTGAGGTGATTATATCCACTCCTAAGTTTCCAAGTATTATGCAAAGTCTCAATTCTGTATTTTTAGTCCAGATCTCGCCTGATCTTGTCTATTCAGTTTGCTTACTGAACACCTCCACATGCTATCGTATAACTATCTAAATCTCAGGGCATCCAAAATGGTACCTATTATTGTGTCTTTTTCCCATATTTTCTCCTCCTCCCATTTTCATAGCAACCATTTAAGCTAAAAATCTCTAGAATCCATTTTCCTTCACTTTTTCCTCTCACTTCATGTAACTAATTAGTCATTAAATTCTGTATGCACTATTCCTGACTCTCTCTTAAATTTCTCTGGTTTTCTCCAAACTCCTGTAACTACTCTGATTCAGACCTCTTTTATCTCATCCTGACAATACACCTAGCACCTCCTATCTGGAATCTCAGTTTCCATATCTGATCTGATTTTGTTACTCACCTGATTAAAGCTCACTTTAGGTGAACTCTAAAACCCATAAAACTGATTACAAGGCCCTTTGTGATCACCCCTCACTAGCCTTTCCAGTCTTACCTCTTGTCTTTCTCCTCACACACCCAGGCCATTCTGAACTAATCTCTGACTCCCAGAATGTTTTCCATTCTCAGAATGTTTTCTTCATTTTTGACCACATTCCACTTATCCTTCCATCTCCTCCCTCTTTCTTATCTTTGCTAACTCCTGAGCTGATACCTTTTAAACAGTAATGTATTAGATAAATATGAGTAAGGCATTACCTTCTTTGGCAAAACCTCATGAGTTTGGACTGGATGCCTTTCTCTTTGGCAAAAACCTCATGAGTTTGGACTGTGTGCCTTTCTCTCTTCCTGCATATTTTCATAGAATCCCATACTTGCCTATCTGGATTCTCCACTAGATTTTAAGCTCCATGGAGACAGGAACACATCTGTTTCATTGGTGTATTCCAAATACCTAGATTTGTGTCTAATACTTAGTAACATTTAGTACATATTTTGAATGAATAAACTAATGGTTGAATAAATATAGATCTGTTAGTATTACCAGAATGAAAAATTTAACTGCACTCGCTAGTATATGCACAGTTGGAAGAATTCTTAGCATTTTATAGCTATATCTATTGTAGGTGCCTGCCTTCTCTTTTTCCTAGTCACCTTTTAAGGATTTAATTCCCAACATCACTTAGTACCTATGTTTTCAAGTTTTGGGGGACACTTAACAATATGTTTAAAAAAACTTGAGTCAATAGCACTGCTACTTAGCCTTAAACTACTCATTTGTAATAGGATTTTTGAAATCATTGTAAAGGTGATTTTTTAAAAAAATATTATTAGAATGTGTGTGTGTGTGTGTGTGTGTGTGTGTGTGTGTTTGTGTGCTGGGATCAAACTCAGGGTCTCACATATACTAGGCAGGCATTGTACCACCAAGCTACACCCCTGGCCCAGTACTTTTAAACAGCAACGTATTAGATAAATGTAAGATGGTATTATGATTCAGAGACTGTTTGAAACAATGTTTTTCTAATGAATAATAATGGGTGCTGCAGACGATATTTTAGTGGTGTCTTCACTGGTTTTCTAGTTAATTTCTGTTCCAACAGACATCAGGTAAAGATGTCTTTATATGTAGAGGGGAAGGCTCACCACATTTTTTTCCATTGCCTTCTCGTTTTTAAAATAGACTTAGGGACTAAAATTGAACTAAAATATGATCAGTATACAATAACCGCAAATTCCCCCACATCGTACTGCGCATTGAGGGTGGGATAAGGACATTGTTATAGACCATTTTAGTTATCATTCATTACTTCGCTTACTTCCAAAGTGAGGCAGCTTCAACCAAAACATATAGATGATGTCTGAAGAACTACGCAGTGAAATAAGTAGAAAAACTAACTTTAAAATGGGCAAAGGTCATGGTTTACCATAAGAATTAAATATCAGTAGCTGTATTATAAGACAGCCCTGGGCACCTCGCGGCCCCGCCCACGGCTCCGACCGCGCCCGATACCTCTTGGCCCCGCCCCGCGCCCTGCCCCCGACCGCGCCCGGATGTCTCATGGCCCCACCCCTCGCCCCGCCCCCAGCTCTGACGGCGCCGGGCGCTTCTCGGGTCCCTACCGGGCCCCCAGGCTGGCTTCCGCGGTCGCCATGACGGCGGCCGTGTTCTTCGGTTGCACCTTCATTGCCTTCGGGCCTGCGCTTGCCCTCTACGTCTTCACCATCGCCATCGAGCCGTTGCGCGTCATCTTCCTCATCGCCGGGTGAGGCGGTTGCGCTAGCAGACCCAGACGCTGGGGCCCCCCTCCCCCGCCTGGGGCACCCGCGACCCTCGGCGTCCCCATCAAACGAGTCGACCTTGCTAGGTTTTGGATCGGAGGAGGGTTGAGACCAGGGAACCAAGACCCGAGACCCCTGAGGCTCTTTGCCCTCCTCTAGGGCCTGTGCGGAAAAAAAACCCAGAGCCCGGAGACCTCAGCTGCGGGTTCTGAAGAAGGGGTTCACATTGTGGGTCTCAGAACCCCCTGATGCATGGCAGGCATCGCAAATCCGTGGGTGGGCCTTAGTGGGCTATGAAGCCACTAAAAGTATGCGAAAAAAAAATTGGATAAGTTCCTATAGGCACCTTAATTTTTCTGAAGAGGTAGTCTCTAATTTTCTCAAATTCTCAAAAGCATCTGTAATCACTGACGGTTAAATAGCCTTTACTGCCTAGCACAGTAGTTCTCGCCCTTCAGCAACTGGAGACACCTGGGGACTTTAAAATATACGGATGCCCACTCCCGACCTTAGATCCACTGAACCAGAATGTCTAAGGTGTGGGATCCGAGCTCAGGCTTTTTTTTTTTTTTCTTTTTTTCCCTAAAGCTCCCTAGGTGATTCAGGTGTGTGTGCAGCCAAAGGTTGGAAATTTATGAAAACACAGGAGCACCTGATCATGCATCTCCTTTTGGGAGCTTGGTAAATACCAAACTCTGGTGGTGAACGTGGTCATAATCTCATTTTTCACCTGCCTGATGGCTCTCACTGGTTCATGCCACATCTGCCTTCCCCTATAAATCTTACTGGCAAAGCCAATGGTTCCTTTATTTTATTTACAGTTGCCTCCTGCAACTGTATTGAATGTGCTGTATCACATGTGTCATTTTAAAAACAAGAGATTGGGTTAACCCATTTGTAATGCTCGCTGTGATCATTAAAATCCCCACGAGTGTTGTAAGAACCAAGCTTGGAAATAACTGATCTAGATTTTCACCCTCTGGATTTTCACCAGTCACTCTATTAATAGAGAGTAGACTTTTTTTCCCCTCCCTGGAAAACACATCTTTGCGGATATCTGAACATTGAGTCCTTAATTTCTGGCAGATTTGAAGGATATGAAAATTGCAATAGTCACAAAGTTGTATGTTTTATGGTTTTGACACATCAGTGAGCAGAGCATTAGGAAGAAAAGAGAGTAACAAGGGTTCCTGTCAGGTAGTCTTTGGTAGGTAGAGTTTGCAGATGCACTTGCACATAATAGGGTCACTAAAACAAGTAATTGTTGGGCAAACCTCACTTTCCTTTTAGATCACATGTTTGTCTTACCACAGACAATGCACCATTAAGAATAACTGATCCAGAGTACTGCTTTATGAGGATTTCTTATTTAAAATTCAGGATATCTATTCCTTCCCAGTCAGGCTCCTGGTCCCCATTTAAAATCATTATTAATCCTTATGTTTATAGTTTTTTTTCCTGATTTTCAGAGCTTTCTTCTGGTTGGTGTCTCTACTCCTTTCATCCCTTTTATGGTTCATAGCAAGCCACATTACTGAGAACAAAGATGGACCAACACAGAAATATGTGCTAATCTTCGGAGTGTTGGTTTCAGTCATTATCCAAGAAATGTTCCGATTTGCTTATTACAGACTTTTAAAGTAAGTTGTTTGCTGTATCATTTTCCCCTAGTTAGATTTGAATTATGATTTGGTAATGTGAAACATTAATAATCCTATAGTATTTGAGGATCTGTACTTTACTACATAGTTCTTGATATTTCCAGCCTGAAAATATTAAGTCTTTAACTTGTGTAGATTCCTTCCTTCCTTTTAAAACATAATCTTCTTTTTCTCTTTTTCTTTTTCTTTTCTTTCTTTTTTTTTTTTTTTTTTAGCGGTTCAGCAGGAACCCAAGGGCACTTACCATTGAGCAACATCCCCAGCCTTGTTTATTTTTTTTTAGGGTACTTGGGATTGAACCCAGGGGCACTTTACCATGGAACTACATCCCCAGCCCTTTTAATCTTTTTTTTTAAAGGTATGGTCTCCCTAAGTTGCTGAGATTGGCCACAAACTTGGTTCCTCCTGCCTCAGCCTCTGTGGGATTATAGGTGTGCACCACTGTGCCTCCCTTCCAAAAAATTATTCATGAGAATATATTTGATGCCAGACAGTGTCAATGCCAATGCAAGGCACTGGGTATACATCAATAACTGTAAAAACCTCTGACCTCATGGAGTTTATCATAAGAGGAGAAGGGCCAAGAAATGAACAAGAAAATACATTGTATATTAGAAGAAGTAACATGGAGAAAAGCAACCTAGGGAAATAGTCATTGAAACAACAAAAATGCTTCCAACTTGGAATTTATGTGTTCTTTCCGACCATCTAAGATAATTCTTATGGAGATTTTGCCTTCCATTGTTTTGAATATATTATGGCACAACAGTGGTTTGTTTTATGGTATTTTCTATAGTTTCAAATCTATAAAATAAAAATGTTTGGAAAAAAAATAAACTTGGGCACAAGTTCCCTCTTTTGGGCCACAGAGTATGTCATCTGTGGTACCCATGAGGACCTCATATGAAACTTCTGATTTGAAACACAACTTAAACTTGGAATGATATTTTCTTTCAGGCAGTCATGGGATTGGCCCTGGTTACATAGTAAGACTTGGTAGAATAATAAATGTGCCATTTGTATCCATTTCTGCAAATGAGGTAATTACAGCTGTCCATGAATTTCATAGATACAACCCAGACTGAACTTTAACATCTCTTTTAATAAGCTTCTAGTAATTTGTTCTTGCTAATATGCTAGGCCTTCTGTATTTTTAACTTTTTACTTTTAGATATTGAATTTCCTTTTCATACTAAAACACTTTAAATTACAAATTGAAAAGGTTTAAACATGAAATTAGTCCCTGGAAATGTTGGAGAGCAATAAATAAATATCAAAAGTAACATTTAAAGCTATATGTGGTGGTGTGTGTCTATAGCTCCAGCTACTCAGGAGGTGAGGCTGAATTAGGAAAATTGCTTGAGCCCAGCAGATCAAGGCCAGCCTGAGCAACATAGTTAGACCCTGTCTCAAAAAGAAAGAAAAAAAAATTAATTTTCACAGGAATACTAATGGATGAACATCTGGCAGTGGTTGAATGTTTCTGGCATATAGCTATTACTACTGTGCTATGATTTTAATTTTCACTGTAGAATATTACTGAGGTAATCAAAATCTCTCTCCTTCTGACCTCTGCCCCACTCACCAAATAAATGAAATCTTTGCCACATGATTGTCATCATGTCCCTTTCAAGACTAAACATTCCTCATTTCTTCATGTGGATCTCAGAAGACATGGTTGTGGCTTCCAAGTTTATTTTTTGGTCAGTGGACATGCCCCTTTTAGTCAGTGCTTGATTTTTACCCATCCTCAGAACCTGGCATAGTATTGTGCAGTGTGGTCTAAGTAGTGTGCTTGCCTGGGCACTGTGTTCTCAACTCAGCTTCACATTGCACTTGTTTTTCCTATCAACATCACCATTGGCTCTTCAGGAAACCGCATGTACTCCTGTAAAAGGACCTGTGGAAATTTTCCAAAAAGGTGGTAGAACAAACATGTCAACAAGTGCTTTTGTTTGCATTTGCAAAATGGATCTTAAATAAACCTTTGAAATATTCTACAAAAATTTCCTAGAAATTTCTAGAAATGTTGGATATTATGTAGTTAAAACAAATTTGAGAATTTTGTGACATTTTAATGATAACTAACACTTACATGGATACATTTAAATTGCTCTCTTCTATGCTTTACTACATTCAAATACAGGGTCTTTGGTTTAATGAATATTTTGTTTAATGCTCTCCAGTGCCAAAGTAGGTTTTGAACTTTTTAAGTTTAAAGCAGTGCTTCAGTTAAATTTTGCTCCCTGAATTTGGTGCCAGGATTAAATTGTGAAGAGTTCATGCTGGTGTTTGTTTTTGTTGCTGATTCTCTGGGGATTGAACCCAGGCATGCTCTACCATTGAGCTGCATACATCCTTAGCTCTTTTTACATTTTGACATGGGGTCTCATTACGTTGCTGAGGGCCTTGCTAAGTTGCTGAGGCTGACTTCAAACTTGTGATCCTCCTGCCTCAGCTTACCAAATTATATTATTATATGGGATTATAAGCATGTACCACTGTTTGTTTTTTGGTAGTTATTGAATCCAGGTCTTTGTGCTCTACCGCTAACTATACCCATAGCTCTGCTACAGTTTTCTTTAAGAGGCATCAGTAAATATATTTTTTTAAATTTCTAAAATGGTGTATTTAATTTGTGTGCATAGTCCTTGATGCATACCTCTATTATATATACATTTGAAAATAGAACAAACAAAGAGAGTATGGTTTACCAGTAATTTTTCAAAGTTTATATTTTTAAAAATGGGATCTTTTTTCCATTCTTGGAAATACAATAATAAATGCAAACAAAGAATTTTTCACTTCCGTAAAATGTTAAATTGAAAACACTACTACTTGCATCAACAGTCATGTGTTCTGTGCGTCAGGAACATGGAAACTGATCATGTTTTATGCTTTTTCACTTCCTACTGTTAACACTGAGAACTATTAGTGCCAAAACATTCCCTCTCAAACACTCCTGTAAAATAGACTGAGGAAGTTTACTAAACTTTTGAACTTATATATTTCATGTATTTGTGATAGCAGCACTTTGCTATACCAAATAGTAAAAATATTTTTTATTCCTGAATCATTTTATAAAATAAATTCTAGAAAATTTATTCGTTTTACTTTATTGATAACTTTGTTGAAGGAGATCATTATTATTACATATGACTCATAAGCTTTAGTTAGTTTTTAACAGGATCCCTGTAATAGGTAAGTTTATTTTATTTAGGAAAATTGGATAATTTAGTTGGTTACTGCTCCAAAGAAATAGGAAAACTGTCACTTAAATTTCTGGCTTATACTTTTGAGTCCACAAAAGCAAAGAACACTTTTCTTATGCATATTAGTATTTTGGCTGAATTCTGCATTACCTTAATGTAGTCTATAATGAATTTACATACCTTGAAATTTAAATTAACACAATGCCAGAAATTAAGAATGTTCTGGTTAGTTTTGTGTTTTTAGAGTTCATCTCTCTCCTTTTTGTTTCAACACTTGCTGACAAATGAGTCAAAAATGTTAAATTTCCATTATTACTTTAGTAAACATGTGTTTCAGTATACATAATTTAAATATCCTTTAAGTCAGAATCTTACACTGTTGCGTAGTTCCAGGCCAAAAAGGAGTAGCAATAGTGCCTGTAGTGGAGCTGACCAGCCACATCTAGCATTCTGTACATATCAGGTGGAAAGTGGAGGCTCAATGATGTGTTTGTGGATTGGCTATAAAGGAAGCATATGATCACTCTGAAGATCATTTCTTGTTGAGCAGTATTCTATCCTTTCATTCAAATATTTATTTACCTCTTATTCCTGTAACATTTAATTCTACAGGATATAATAAAAGTATTAGGTTGTTTTCTTTCCTGAAGTCTATTGGAGATAGAAAATATACATGTAAAATATTTTAGAATCAGATATAATTAAGTACCCCTATGAGAGTTCAGATCATCAGTATTATAGAATTTAAGAGTAAGGAGGACTAGTGATAATCAACCATTGGAAGAGGCAGCTTTTTTAAGAAATTATTGCCTGGGGCCTGAGGGTATGACTCACTGGTATAGCATGTGCTTAGCATGTATGAGACCCTGGGTTCAATCCCCAGGAGAGAGAGAGAGGGGGGGGGGAGGGAGAGGGAGAGGGAGAGGGAGAGGAGAAAAAAAGAAAGAAAATAGAGGAGGATAAGGAAGAAAAAGGAGAAAAGTTCTACAGAGTGCAAGTCAGAAGGGAAGGAGGCAGTAAGTGTGGCACTAATAAAAGATAAAGTGGAGATGAAGACAGTGCTTTGGGAAAAGAAAAAAGTTCAGAGTGGTAAATTCCATGGATATTGAGATATTTATTGAGCTTAGAAATATAGTGTTGCTGTTTTTCTTATTAAATTAATTCCTTCATGACTTATTTACCTATGTTTTTCTTTTTTATATGAGCATTTAGAAAAAAGGCAGAAGTTAGAAATTGAAGCTGATTTTACTTAATTGAAAATGTGCTGGGTTTTGTTTGAATGGATTCTAGATTTAGAGTATAACCTGATCAGAGTCTTAGGAAGTATCTGGATTTGAAGTGTCTTGTGTACTTTCCTGACATACTGCTTTTTCTTCTTTTTAAAAAATGTATGTGTGTGGTTTTATTATAGAAAAGCCAGTGAGGGTTTGAAGAGCATAAACCCAGATGAGAGTGCACCCTCCATGCGATTGCTGGCCTATGGTAAGTTAGAACCATGCCATGTCATTAAGAAAAAAAAAAATCAGACTTGGCTTGAAAACTTTCTTTATCTTGCGGGGTACCGAGGCACATGCCACCTGTAATCTCAGCAGCTCAGGAGGCTGAGGCAGGAGGTTCATGAGTTCAAAGCTAGCTTCACAACTTAGTGAAGCCCTAAGCAACTCATCGAGACCCTGTCTCTAAATAAAATACATGTGCCTCAGTGGTTAAGCACCCCTGGGTTCAATCCCCGGTTCAAAAAGAACCCCACTACCTTCATCTTATCTTTTGTATCTTTAATAGGTTTCAAGCAGTATTTTATTACTGCCTTGACTTATTGGCATATATTATTTGTTTTTTTACAACTTTCCTGGTTCCTTATGTGAAGTAAAGTGATTACTGGTTACCTTTGTCTGTATGTTCATTAAATATTAATCAAGTTTGAAAGGTTTTTAACATATATACTATATTCTAGTTAACCAACAATTTCATAGTGATATAGCTTTCACTTTCCCTGATTGTTTACCATGACTTTAGCTGCACTAAGAGGACTCTTTTTTTTTTTT